TTACTTACACAATCTGATGGTGATTTTTCAATAATTGGTTTGATCATGAAGAAAGTTGTTGTTTCTGTTGTTGTGTGCCTTCACATAGTTTCCAGTTTATGGTGGTGTAAAGCCATAATGATAAACAAATAGCTCCTCAAACAAATCAAGCATGCACTCTCCTTGTAAGCCAAGATGATCAACACTGAAGCGTGTCCACAGGAGGGTGACTAAAATGGTGAAGGAGCTGGAAACCATGCCCTATGAGGAACAACTTAGGGAACTGGGTATGTTTAGCCTGGGGAAGAGAGAGTTAAGAGGTAACATGATAGTCCTGTTGAATTATTTGAAGGGATGTGATATTGAGGAGGTAGCTAGCTTGTTTTCTGCTGCTCCAGAGAGCAGGACCCAGGACAATGGATGCAAACTATAGGAAAAGAGATTCCACCTCAACATTAGGAGGAACCTCTTGACAGTAAGAGCTGTTCGACAGTGGAACATACTCCCTGGGAGTGTGGTGGAGTCTCCTCCTTTGGAGGTCTTTGAACAGAGTCTGGATGGCCATCTGTCAGGGATGCTTTAATTTTGGGTTCTTCATGGCAGGGGGCTGGACTGGATAGCCCTTGTGGTCTTTTCCAACTCTATGATTCTGTGAATACCATAAAGAAAGCTGAGAGGGAGAAAAAAGTTATAGGAAATGGACATGGCATAGTGGTTTAAGTGTTGGACTACAACTCTGGAGACCAGGGTTCGATTCCCTGCTCAGCCATGAAACCAATGGGTTAACTTGGGCAAGTACATGATCTCAGCCTCAGGGAAAGGCCATTGCAACCCCCCTCTGAACAAATATTTCCATGAAAACCCCATGATAGGGTCACAAAACAACACCACTACAGTTTTACAGATACCATGGACTGCCAAAAAGTCAGAAAGCTCATTAGAAAACAAAATTACTAAATTGAGTCTGTTGTACCTGGACACATCAAGAGAAAATATGACTCAATGGAAATAACAATAATGCTCATAAAAGCTTAAAGCAGTAGTAGAATAGGAAGACCACATTACAAATGTATTAACTCAGTAAAAGAAGCCATAACCCTGAGTTTCCAAGTCCTGAGCAAGGATGTTAATAACAAGATCTCTTGGAGGTATCTCATTCAAAAGCTGAAATCATCCTATGGCACAAAATAATAGTACATGACAACTACTCTGTTCCACAATAGATAAAGAAAGAAATTGTCTTGAAAGAGTAGAATACAGAACTGAAATGGGTGGAGGTTTTCAAACAAATTCCAGAAAGTAATGACAGCTAAATAAAAAAATAAACAAAAAACTGATCTTTTAAAAAAAGACTTCCATCCTTGTATCTAATTCCCACTGTGGGAGAGTTTTCACTTTAATGACACAGCTGTGGATCAAGGACAGAACTAGCTGAGTCATAGTGTTAAGGCTGAGCTTGAGGTGAAATTGAGGATTAACATGATTTGTGCAGAGTTTCAAGATCTCTTTAGAAGGAACCTGCATCTGCAAAAAACAGCAGGAGGCCAAATATACAGCCAATGTAAACAATAGGAATTTGAAGACAAGAGAAGACAGCTTTAAGGGGAAAATATCATATTGCATTTCAAGTAATCTTTTGTGAAGAAGTCATGCTGGCTATCTAGCTGTAGAAAGAGAAGGAAGGAACCTATGGGGGGGGGGGAAGTAACAGAAATAGATTCCACTCATGTCTGTCTTAGGTTTTTAACAAAGTTTTTCCTTAAAACAACAACAACAACAGAACAATGAGATCACATGCAGAAAGAAAACAGAACACTGAAAGGAGAAAGCACATTTAAAAAGAACAAAATAATAATATAAGCACAATAAACAAAGGGATATGCTCCCTGGCCTACAAAGGTCTGCTTTTCGACAGTAAAGATGAATTAAAGAGGGTCTGTGATTTTTAGACAGATAAAGCAATACACACTCCTGAGCCAATATAGCATAGTGGTTTGAGTGCTGGACTGTGATTTTGGAGACCAGGGTTTGAATCCCTACTCAGCCACAGAAACCCACCAGGTGATCTTTGGCAAGTCTTAGGACCTTATCACA